GGAGATGGGAGGTGGGGGGGTGGAGGTGAGGGGGTGGAGTGGGGGGGGCGCGGAGGCAGGTGGAACGGAGGCGGGCTGAGGGCTGCGCAACAGGTGGGGCGTGGGGACCATAGCTCGGGTTCTGGGTGCCCTGGCTGAGGATCGCGTCCGCTGAGGTGGGCAGCAAGAAGCGCCCGACCTCACCCCCAGTCCTTCAGACACACCCAGCGTGCCCCACAGGCCACCCCCTCCCTGGGTTTAGGACCCTCCCTTGGGCTTTCGCCGGGGAAAGAGGACTACGACCGCATGGTTCCTGGCGCTGAGGTCTCTGACTCTTCCCTCTGACGCTCGCAGGGGCCCAGAGTTTATTCGTGCCCATTTCCACGCCTGCCCCTTCGGGGAAGTCACTCCAGGGCGCTCGGAGGCCGGACGCTGTTTCCTTATAGTTTGCACGGCGCCCTGCCCAGAACTGCCAAGCAGAGCGGCCACCGCCGGCCTGGCCCTGGAGCGCTGGAGCGGGGTCGGGGGGCGAGGCACGCAGGATGGGCCTGCGCCGGGCAGGCCTGGAAAGGAAGAGCGAGACTCGACGCTCGTGCGCGCGTGCCCTCCCGCCTGCCCCGCCGCTGCCCGACGGGAGGGAGCCCTGGCGGATTCTAACGTTCCGTCCATTTTAGTCCGAGTGAGTTTGCGGACAGGAGCCTTAGGAGGAAGGTGAGGTCCACCGGCTGCAGGTGTCCGGGTCGCGGGGCTCCCCAGGTCCCGGGGCGGGGGCGGGGGACGCGCCCGCGCCGCGGTTGCTGAGGCCTCACCTTACCGCGGGCCTCCGGTAGGCCTCAGTTTCCACAGCGCGCCTGCTGGTTGGGCTACAGATGAAAGATGGAAAGTGGGGCGAGAGGGAGGAAAGTATGGGTGGAGTGGGAAAGGGCACAGCATTGGGAGTCCTTCAGCCCTGATTTCCAGTTTGACCTCCTCGGCTGACTAGCAGGGTGCTGTGCCGCGCCCTGTATGCTTCTGAGGCCACCGTTGCAGCCTCTGTGCAATAACATTCAGGCCTCTGTCGCCGGCGGCGTGTGGAAGCGCTCTGGGAAGGCAGCAGAGAGCAGGGCAGCGCCCCGACGACCCCGCCCTCCCGACCCCCCAGGCTCTCACTGCGCATCTTGGGGCGGCGCGGGGCGCCCGGGCTGGGACCCTGGAGGCGGGCGTGCGGTCCCGCGCCGCCGGGGTAGCTGCTCGGGCCGGGAAGTTTCGTGGCGGGTCGTCTAGGGGGCCCGGGGCGGAGGCGGCGAGCAGGGGCGCGCTCTGGGCTGCCCGGAAGGAGCGCGGGCCGAGAGCCCATCTGCGAGGGCATGGCGCGAAGCCAGGCCGCAAAGCTCCCTGCGCCGGGTCTCCGACCCCTGAAGTCCCGGGATATTCCAAGGGCTACACACAGAGAGGACATCAGAAAGATAATGGCTGTGAGGGCGCGGGGCAAACTGAGGCGTCGCCGAGGGATGAAGTCGCCTCGGGACGTGCGATCTCCCAGCAGCGACCCGCCAGGGAGCGGTAACGTCTCCTATGGGTGGAACCAACCAGATCAGTTCTCCAGTGTTTCACCAGCGGTGAAACTGCGGTCCAGAGAGGAAGTGACTTACGTCCCCAGGGCTTGCCAGGGGCGAGCGGAGCTGGGACAGGGCCGGGCAGCGTACGTGTTGGAGAGTGCCCGCGCCGTTCCCCCCAGATGTAACCTCACTTTGGAAGCCGCGCTTTCCTTCTCTGTAAAATGGGAATAGCAGTTACTACCCAGGCAGGAAGTTCTGTGGCTGCGGCCCACATAGAGGAGCCTAGCAAATACTCCTTTGTACCTTTCCTTTCCGAATTCCCCAAAGGGGAGAAAAGCGCCGTAGGCAGCCGGGGCCTGCCCGAAAGGGTGCCCCACCTGGGCCAGAATCTCTGCGGATTGGAGTGTAGGCGGATCCGACCCAGAAAGCTTTGTCGCAAAAACCTTCCTGGGCTCCGCATCCTTGGTTGTGTGTTTCTGTTTCCCTTCAGATGTGGTTTGTTCCCCCCGAAATGTTAATAACCAAACGATTGGTATGGATGTAATTATCAATAATTATACGAATTATTGCTGATTGCGGGGCTCGTAGCTACTTTAATTAGTTTACCAGATTCTAATTAAGTTAAATGAAACATTAATAGGGAAAATATGCTTTGAAAAAAAAGAACCCAGGATTTTTTGTCTATTTCTCGCCACAACGTTGCCACCTTGCGACACATTTTAGGCATTACAGTCAACGACCAAAGGCCCCAGACTAGGGCGCCTTGTCTTGGGGGGGTGGGGGGGTGGAAATGGGGCTTGGGGAATTGGGAACCGGCTGTGGGGCACAGAATATCCTCCCAGCTGTTCTTTGGCGGCGTTTGGCTCCGCACCCCCGCCCCCGGCGGTGCCCGCAGAAGGTCGGGCTCTGGAGTCCGAGGTCTGGGAGTAAAGAACCAGGTAAACATGCCCCTTCGACCTCTCCCTCCTTTTTCAGCAGGAGAACTCCGGATTCCTCATAGGGACGCCCGGTGGGAGAGGTGGTCTTTGTCTTCACCTGTCCCAGCAAACCCAGGGGGGAAAAACTGAGCGACGCTGGAGGTTGCTTGATTTTTCACTCCCCTGGGATAAACCAGTAGATCGCTCCTCACCTCCACTTCCTCTGCAAATTGGGGTAACCTGTCGGCAAAAGACATCTGGAAGACTCTTTGGACTCCTGGGATTAACTTCTGTGTTCCCACCGCACTTGGTTCTTGAAGTTAGTGCTCACCTTCCCGAGCTATCCTTGGTTGTGTGTTTCTGTTTCCCACAGGACTGTGAGTACCTCGGCTACAGGCGCCATATCTGGCTCTTCCTGTGACCTCCAACACAGGGCCCCACACATCAGAGGGGATCGACAGGTATCTAGATGAATGGGTTCCAACTTCGTGGTTCGTCTGGGTGCTGGAAATGTGTGAGGGAAGGAATCCCTAGGTGCTTCTGGACAACAGCTACTGGGAAGCAATTAAGCTCATTTGCATGAGGTTAATTAAGCACAGGCTTACTGCTAAGAAGATCCTTCATCAAGTAGGATTAGTTTTGGGGGCAGGTGTCAGGTAAGTGATTGTCAACCTAGAACAGGAAAACTTGCTTCCTCCTCCAGCTGCATCCCAGAGAGGGTGCTCCTTCACTCTCTCACATCTTGCAAGGTCACTGGGCACGTACTTGTCCATCCTTTCCCAGCTACCCTGATCTAAAGTATAGCCTTGATCCTTCACAAAAATTGGACTCCTGTCCTTGAATTCAGAAAGCCAACAGAAGCAGAACTGGACCTGCATGCTCTTTCCATTAATTCTAAACAGCCTTACCTCCCACTCTACACCCCCAAAGGCAGCATAGTGATTGGTTAAGAGCACAAACTCTATAGCCAGATTTCCTGGGTCTCAATCCCTTCTCTGCAGTTGACTAGTTGTGTGACATTGGGCAAGTCATTGAATCTCTCTGTGCCTCAGCTCCCTCATGTGTAACAGGAGGAGGAAAGGGGTCCCTACTGCATAGAACTGTGCAGAGCCAGGAGAATCAGCCAGGGCTCTGGCTTTTCCAGAACTATAGGAATTGCCTGTGTCTTTCCTAATTTCTGCTGTGAGACAACGGTCATGCCAAGAAAAACGAGAAGTTTCTTTAGAAGGAGAGAGAGCCACACCAACGTTGGTCGTTTCCTTATTTGGCATCCCAGAAGGAGACCTTTAAAACTACTCACCCAGTTACCCAAGTGGCCTCCAAAGAACCAGGCATGTTTGGAAGAAAGAAAAGCAAAGATTGCCCTCTAACACCATGCACTGGAGGCCGTGAGCCGAGGAGAAGGCGCAACAAGAGGTCCCACAGACTCCTATTCTCGGCTGTTACCTGAAAAGGATCAACTCACCTCTGAAGAGAACAGAAATGGATCCCTGATGGAACGCTGCTCGGCAGCTCCGAGCGCCCGCCGGGAGAGGACCCGCCCCTGCCCTGGGGCGGCTCTGGGGCTCTGCGTCTGCCTGCCCTGGCTGCGGTCGCCGCTGGAGGCAAACCGATTTAGGCGTCTTGCGGCGGCAGAGACCGCCAGGAGGACTACGTGCGTGCTCAGGCACCAGCAAAGCATATGCACTAACATTTCTCTCCTGGAAAGAAATTGGTAGTTCAAAAAACATCGACAAAGTCATCACAGGAAATCTGAACTTTGTTGGATTTTATTTTTCTTCTCATTTTACTAATTAGGGCTGTGCTTTTTGCAAATGAATTACCTGGGGGCAGGACACTGATCTTTTCAGGGTCTGTGCCTCTAAAGGCCTGTTTCATCAGGCGTTGCCTCGGCAACTTACTAGTTACACGATTATGCCCAGGTTGCTTTACGTCTCAGTGTCTCCTGTGAAGTGGTGACAGTAATACCTACACGGCAAGGCTGTCAGGAATATTAAAATGAGATATTGGTGAAGCCCCTGGCACATAGTGGACGCTCAAGGAATGGGCATTATTTTTTTTAAGATTCAGAGGCAGCATGAGGAGTCAGCCTTGTTGCAAGTTCCTGTTATAGTACACCTTATGTTTATCGTAGCACTAAGGTCCTGTAATATTTTGGACCTGAAATGGATCAACTTTGGCACGGCCATTGTCGTAAGTGTAAGGTACCGTAGAACTCAGGTTAGTGCAGGGGAAGCAGAGGCAAGATGGAAAAGACTGGGAGCCGGCGGGCCAGATGTAAAAAGCACAAAAAACGGATAAAACTGACTACACGCTACCT